CTGTTTTGGCAACATATTAGAAATTTAGATTGGATATGATACAAGTTTTTTTGGAATTTTAAAGTTTGGGGTTCTTTCGGATATCCATTTAAGTTCGGGTTCGGTTCGGGTAATACCCATAACCCGAAATATCGTAAAACAAGATCCATTCGGTACTTATGTCGGGTTCGGATCGGTTCAGATTCCTTTTTATCGGGTCGGATTCGGTTCGGATTTTCGGATTCGGTTTTTTTTGCCCAGCCCTAGTTTTAATGGCTTATAAAATTGTACTTCTATACAAAAAAAAACATTCATATTTTCTCAAGGTGAAAATGATATATTTATGATAGTGGAAGATCCATCGAATTTCTTTTTGTGATAAACATGAATATATAAGAAACAATATATTTATTTTAAATTGTTATTTCGGTGATATTTTTTTTGTGTTTGAAATAACTAACCTTGGTTACTTAATAAGATAAATGCCCCTTATTATTTCGATTACGCTAACCTTGGTTACTTATCAAGGAAATATACATTTACTCGATTTTTTTTTTTAAAAGTCTTCTGTTCCCAACTAAATATGAAAGAGTCCAAATTGAAAACCCAGAATCCCAAGGCATACATAATCAAAACCTTATATAATTATAAATTGTATAACTTGCCGTGTGGTACTTTCCGTTAAGTACTTAAGTATCATTATGCAGAAACATGGAATTCAAACATTTAGGTTGATTGTTTCTGCTGCACGTCTTGCCTGTTAAACCTTTCTTCAACAAATTGGAGCATTTGATACTGAAGAAAATTGTTTGCTAGAGAGAAACCAAAGAAATGGTGATTAGGAAGAAAAATATTCAACTGCAAATCTTATTGAAAAATGTAATTTACATAGTTACAAAAATAAACAACAACTGTGAAGCAAAAGAAAATTAACAACAATTACATCTAAAAGCCTACAAGAAAAATAGTAAGAAGCAAAATGATATCACAATAAGAAAAATAGAAGGTTTTCAAGGGAGAAATCCAAAGAGATATGGAGCATTATAAGAAGGGGCGATGCCATGGCGGAGGAGAGGGAGAGAAGGCAGAGGAGTACGGTGGTTGAGGTGTTGCCGCCATGCAATCTGGACGGCTTCAGCCACCACTGCGACGAACTCCATTCCCATCTTTGTCAGCTCTATACACAGCTCTATCCTTTTTATCATCATGACTTTTTGTTCTTTTTCTTTTTTTTTTTTTTATAGATATATTTCTTCTTTTGATTACTCACTTCGTCTTCTTTGTATTTATATCAACAAACTAAACTATAGATCCCCACTCCAAAAGCGTTATAATAAATTAATCGTTTCTTTTGATAGTTTGATTGAGACATAATTACAAAAATAAAATAAAACGCGTTTACCGTGAAATACATAAAGTAGTAGTATTTTTTTCTCTTTTCTATTAACCTTTGCTTCGAAGTTGTTTTGACTTCTGAGAACTCACCATTGATTATTTTTATATTTTTTGGATAAAGAACTACCCTGAATTCACACTTCTTGAAACAGAAATGAAAAGAGTTTGTTTTCTGTAATGGGGAAATTTTTTTTTAAAGGGCATTAATGGGAAATATTTTACCCAGTAATAGTTTGATTTGCCATTTTGGTACTTGACAAATTCGACTCTGAAAATAACAAAACACACAATTTTTAAACCAAAAATATAACAAAAGACAAAGAAATGACATACTGATCACACGATCAGTTTTTGTTGTTTGTAAAATCCGGTGAATATTTGAAATATCAGATCACATTTGAATGACTGGTGCAAGCAAGTGTTGCATACATATCAATCTACTAGAAATGAGATAGTCTTGGGTTCGTCGTATATTATGTTGTAGCTATCAGCAAATTGTTCGCCAGTTGTTATGAAATTCCATGAGTTTTTTTTAAAAAATATTCTTTTCTAAAAAATCTATTTTTCTTCAAAACAATAATCCTTTTCATATTTTTCAGCTCAAATATCTGAAATATCTTGTTCTAAAATATTCACATTATTTGGTTTCTTAATTAAGAACCTATCAAGAGCAATATAACAAAAGAGATAAGATAGAACAAGGCTTTCAAAATGTGTTGGTTAATAACAAGAGAGATAAGATAGAACAAGGCTTTCAAAATGTGTGGTTGAACAAGACGAAATTTCAAATAAATTATTTATATTAAATTCAAAAATTTCGTACAACGACAAATATACATTAATCATTTTCTAAGGGAAAAATCGCATAAAAAACCTTCAGAGTTAAACTTACTAGCACTTTAAACCTTGAAATTTTTTTCACTAGCACTTTAAACCTGACATTTGTGTCACAAAAAACCTTGAACTAGAAAATCTGACATGTTGAACAGGTAAAACATGTCATTTATCAGTTTTTTTAAAAATAAAAATTTAATCAATAATAAAAAATTAATTAAATTTTCAAAAAAATAAAAAAAATCAGAACAGGAAGAAAATTTTATAAAAAAAATAATTTGAAATACCAAAAATTAAATAAAATTCCAAAAATTAAAAAATAAATTAAAGAAAATTCAAAAAATTGAACAAAAAATAAACAAAAATCAAATACTAAATTAAATTTGCAAAAAATTAAAGAAAATTTCTGAGTATAAAGAAACATTTAAAAAAATGAAAACTGTTTGAAACCATCATCGTCAATAGTGATATATTTGAAATTTTTATTCTCAACTATAATATTTCAGATTTTTTTTTAAAAAAATGTTGTATTTTTTATAAAATTTTCCAATGAAATTGACATATCATCGTTGACAATAAAAATTTCAAACATAGCACTGTTGAAGTTCATGGTTTCAAATAGTTAAAAACATAATCTTGTAATTTTCTAAAAATTATTTTGAACTTTTGAGTTTTCAATTTTGTGAATTTTTTTTCATTTTCTGAATTTAACTTAATTTTTATTATTTCAATTTCTTTTTCTTTTTATAATTTTTTCTTTCTGTTCTGAAATTTTCTTTAACTTTTTTGAAAATTAAATTGATTTTGATTTATTTTTTTGCTTATTTATTATATTAATATTTATTAAATATTTATTTCTCGGAAAAAACCTAATAAATAAAATAGGTAATTTATTAAATATATATTTTTATAAATTTTCTTTATGTTCTGATTTTTTATTTAATCTTTTGGAAATGTAATTTAGTTTTTGATTTTTATTTATTTTTTGTTCAATTTGTGAATTTTCTTTAATTCTTTAAAAAGATTAGAATTTTATTTAATTTTTAGTATTTTAAATTATTTTTTATAAATTTTTCTTTATGTTCTGATTTTTTTGAAAATTTAATTAATTTTTTTGTTATTGATTAAATTTTTATTTAAAAAAAACTGATAATTGACCGGTTTTAACTGTTCAACAGACCAGAATTTCTAGTCCAAGATTTTTTGTGATACAAATGTCACTTTAAACCTTTAAAGTGCTACTGAAAAGATTTCAAGGTTTGAAGTGATACTAAGATTTATTTTGAAGGTTTTCTATGCAATGGGGGGGGGGGTAAAATAAGCGTTAATCGGATCGTGTGGCTTTTGGACGTTTCAAAAGGACGAGCTTCTTTAAACAACCGACAGTCGAGAGAGATGTCCGTGCATTTGGATAATCACACACACACCCTAATAATTTACAATAGCACTATATTTTAAGTTTTTGACACTTTTTCTTGTCGCCTACAATATCCTAACTTGTAAGTTCTAAATACCGATGTACCTCGTTCAATGATGATTCAAATAAGTTAGTTGCTCAAAGTCCAACTAAGTGGTTTTAAACGATAAAAGAATCATATACACATAACACAAATCTTACGGATATATAAAATACGAATCCCCTCCAAAATATATCTGCCGATAAATTCTTTTTTTTTTTTGGCAACTATATATGTATGAATCGAAACCTAAATCATTTTTAGACGATTGAAACTGACGACTTATCCAATCCCTCTTTTAAATGAACCGTAAACAGCGTCCAATTTTGTTTGACTAAGCAGATTTTTAACAAGACTCGAATTTAGGAATGAAAAGTTTACGTTTTGTCCCAAATTATCTTCTTACCACAAGAGTTTAACCACTTAGTTAAAACTGACAAGTTAATTGAGAATTGAAAGTGAAACTCAACTACTTTGATGTTGATTAAAATCTAAGTGACATACCATAAAAGGAAGAGTGTAACATGAACGGGATTAGGTCTCCATTTAGCTTGTTGTCAATCGTTATTGTCGTATGGATACACTCAACAGCAAGACATTTGCTATAAAACGACACGTTGCATCGTCATCCTCATAATAGAGATCTCTCCCCCAAGAGTATGTCGAGGAAGCCAAGGCCATACCATAAAGTATTAGTCCTTTTCAAAACAAGACGCAATAAAATATCTGGAATGTTGATTTTTATGTATACCAAAGAAATGAACAAAATAACAAACTGTCCTATTCAATTAGCGTGTGCTATATACATATTAATATAGATAAACAAAAAGAATAGATTAACAAAATACTTGAATATGATAAGGCTCGGTTTCCCTATTTACTTGATCTTTAGGGAAAAAAAAAAAATCTAATCCCTAAAAGTTTTGCTAAAATGAAGATGCGTTTTACGAAAGAGCATCTCTTCTCTTCTCTGAATTTCCTTTTCTCTTTTGTCAGTTTTGGTTCTCCATTCAAATTAATGAAAACCCTTTCTACAAGGATTTAAAAGCACTTAAAAGATAACATCTCAGAAAAGAAGAAGATAACGTGCATTTCACGAGAAAGACATTGAAATATCAGGTACAAATATCAGTCAATTAATTGTTGGAATTGTTTTTTATTTTTTTCTAACTGAAATTTCATTAAAAATCAAAAGGCCAAATTAGTTGTTGAAAAATTTATAAGCGCGCACAAACAAAAGGCAACATTTTGTGGTTTACTACATGGATTAAGCTATGAACGTTTCAAGTACCATTTTCGTTAGATTTTCTTTCTGTGGTTTACATGTTCAAAGAGATTCATATATTATAGTAACAAAATTTGAATAATATTGTAGCTATATCTTTCTGAGTTATTCTTCGGTTCACCCTAGGGGATGAAGGATGAACCACCAACCAATAGGATCCTATTATTTTATATTTGATATCTTTTAAAAAAATAAATAAAATCTTGTTAAGTTCTATTATATTTTTTAAATAAAAATACAATAACGAAATAAAAATAAAAATATTTACAAAAAACGAAAAACAATTCTTTAAAAAAATATATTATAACACTAAAACAACCCTAATCCTAAAACCTAAACCCTAATCCTAAACCCTAAACCCTTGGGTAAACCATAAATCCTTTGGATAAATCTTAAAAGCACTAAAATTATTTAACACTAAATTATTATTATTATTTATTTAAAAACATAATATAATATTAAAGTATATATTTTAAAAGAATATTTTTCGTTTTTGTAAATATTTTATTTTTATTTATTTTTTTATTTTTATTTAAAAAAATATAATTTAACAAGATTTTATTTCCTTTTTTAAAAGATATCAAATAAGAAATAACATTTTCTTATTAGTTGGTGAACCTATAGGTTCATCATAGGGGGTGAACGCAAAAAAAAGGGGTAAACACAAGAAAAAGTCATTTTTTCTGGTGGTGTAAGTTTTGGTGGATAGAGGAGAAGAGACTGGTGCTCAGTTTGCAGGTTAAACCCACCCCGCCCAACTCACCTTGATACAGATTGATTAGTTTTTAGATTTAAAAATTCAACCCGCATAACTCGTCAAGTAAAAATACTCAATCCACATCAGTTTCGCTGAAATAAGCGGCTAATCTTGGACCCGCATATAATTTTAAAATTTAAAAATAATTATTTTAATTACATTTCAGTTATTTATTTTCAAAAATGATATAGCATATATTTTTGAAGAAAATAGATTTTTGAAAAAAAATACTAAAAAAAAAAGGTTTGCAGGTGGGCAGATATCCACAATCCAAATTAGATTGACTCACATCCACCCAGTAAAAAATGAATTTGGCCCGCATCCACACCCTCCCCACAGATTTTTTAAAAGTCGACCCACACCAGCTCCGCGGCAGGTAAAACGAGGCGGTCCCACGGATTTAAAGTCGAATTCCCAGCTCTAGAAGAGACTAACCGAAATGATTGGCCTTTTCAACTCTTCAAACAAAAATAACGGGGCACACAAAACACATGTTCATAACACTCGGAGTTGTTACAAGTTCACAATTTGGTACATGTTTCAACTCTTCAAACAAAAATAACCGAAATGATTGGCCTTAGCTATTGTAGTTATCAAGGCCAAGGTCTCTCAGTGCATCAGTTGCAGAGGCTCTGCATATCTCATTGTTGGCCTTAGCATTCCTTATCAGCTTCTCAATTCCAATGGCAAGCAGAATAGTTCTGTAATGCCAAACAGAATATAGCTGATCTGATCAGAGATTGTGTGCTATGTAAATATTGTTGGGATGGATACAGAATGGAAAGATGTTTTCCTTTTTTTTACCTGTTTTCTGCATTTCTTACAGCAATGTTACGTATCATGTTGCAAGCGTTTCTTTGCATTTGAGCCGCTGCTGGGAACCTCTTCATAGCTTGGAACGCCAAATCACCGGCTCCAGCTTCTATAGCACTGGCTGCGTGGGCTGGTGACTCAGACAGATTATAGAGATTATCGACATCACCTGAACAAACCGGTGTATCTTAAGTCAAACACAAGGTTTATGCACACAGACCCCAGAGTGTTGCTACAAGAAAAATTCTTTACTCCACAAAACGCTTTTATCAATTCTAGTGTATATATAGATAGACCTATCCCCTAAGTCACAAGCATTTCACCAGACAGCATGACTGAAAATGGTTTTCATTTGGTTTTAGTTACCTCTTGTATGACTAGTGGATCGTCTGAGAATCGTTGTGCGAGTTTGATTAGCTTGTCAAGACCTTGCTTCTCGACTATGGTACTCTTGTTAGAGTCACTTCCTGCCAACTATAGATACAAACACACATTCAGACAAACATTTCTCACGCCTGATTGACTCTTAACATGAACAAACGCCACTGTCTAATAACTGGTAAGGCAAAAACTTAAACTCTGCAGCTTTAAAGAAAAACTCTGTACAAATGAAAGACTATAGAGGCAGGTTGCATAACAGTTCAGAAGCTACACACCTTAGACAACAGGGAACAGCATGTCTTAGCAGCAGTTTTGTTGCCTTGCACACCGCTATATCATCAATACATCGAAGAAGCGTGTCTATTCCACCAGTTTCAGCAATAGATTTACATATTTCATCCTGTTTACAACAACAAAAAAATTGAAGTGTGTGCTCTTAGCATAAGATATCAACAGTTATGAACCACTTACATTAACAGCAATTGATTTTAACGCTACACTTGTAGATACCAAGCTATCTGAACCAATCCCTGCCTGTAATGCTTCAGTGAGGGCTCTTGCAATCCCTAATTTAGCAAAAGTCCGCGCATAACCATAAACCTAAACCACATAAAAGCAAAAAAAAAAGAGAATCTAGTTGACTCAAGTTCTCAAAACATGTTGATGAAGAACCACATGAATGAGTATGAATGATCCTACTTACTTGAGATGCAACCACACGGTTATCATCTGGAGTCAAAGATTACATGAATCGCACCATACAACGCATGAACGGTGCTTTCACTCTCTCAATTCAGCACTTGGAGGATAATAAGCTCATCGATTTTCAGCTCCATGAATAGCTCTTTCACCACTTCATTACCAGTTGATGCAGCAGCAACAACAGAAAAACCAGAGCATCTAATACATCAGAATCAGAGATGGAGTCTCTCAAGATATCAACTACAATCTTCGGTCCAGAAAGATGTCTGAACGCCTCTGTCCCCTGAATATTCACAATTGAATTGACACATGATCTGTTGACAATAAGTTAAAGATAATGACAAAGATAGCTTGGAGATAAAGTTAAAGAGATCCTAAGAGATTTAGGATTAAGAATAGAGTTTATCCTAATGAGATTAGGAAACAAAGTCTCTATATATAAAGAGATGCGTGTGATGTTTTTGAGTTAGAGGTTTATGAGTTTGTGTGATTGAGAGCTTAAGTTTTGAGCTATTTTCTTAAGCATTAATAAAGTGAGTCCTTTATTGAGTTACATACAATCTTATTGAGTTCTTACGTTCTAGTTAAATCAAGATGATCATCGTTTACAACTCATAAAGACTGGTTCCAGATTCATTCCATGGATCAATAGAGCCAAAGCTTTCAGACAAGGAACAACAATGTCGTTACTCCTCGTTCCTGTTTTGATCTTGGAACAAATCGAGCATATGTTACTTCCACAGCACCGTGTTTTGTAGCTATCGTCAGGTTGTCTTGGCTGCTACAAAGCTCGTTGAGCTTGACGAACAAACACGAAACCTCATCAAGATCATCATCTCTAAGTAGTCCGTGTTTAGAAACAGTGTCGAGTTCTTTGAGTCTATCTAAACACGAAATCACTGGATTGTCCTTAACGCTACTTGTAATGATCCCTGAAACTACAAAACAAACACAGACTTGAGCTAGCTGTGAATCAAGTTGTGAGAGAAACGAAAGTGTTAAAGGACCGGAGAGATCGCGGCCTTGGATATTGAGTGTGTGGAGAGCGTCTTCGAGAGCTTCTGAATGTTCCATCCCTAGATCTTCCACGTTTTCCCTAACGAGATCGTCGAATGCCTCTTGGGATATTGCGCGGATACCCATTCTCACTTTCTCCGCCGCTTACGATTCGTCTGACAAAATACAACAGAAACTCGTTCCATGCTCCTCGTACTTTTTTTTTTGAAACACGATGCTCCTCGTACTTCTTGTCTGATTTTAGACAGTGAAGAGAGGTCGAGTTGTCACAAAACGGCATCGTCCTAATAATCATCACACGACGACGTTTGAAGCCTTAGTACTATGTTTTTGCTAGACTGCTACCATTAGATTTTTTTTTTTTTTTTTTTTTGAATTGTTAGTTAAGGAGAGATATGGGCATCCACAATGAACAAAAGCCTTCTTCACATGTTAATACAATTCATTTGGTTTGTTAAATGCTTTCCTTTGATCTCATTCTAGTCTAAATTCTGCATCTGCAAGATGCCTAACCTGCTAACCAGAGCCGGCCTTGGAAGCAAGCCAATGAAGCTTGTGCTTCCGGCCACCAAATACTAAGATTATAAACAGCCACATTTTGACTATTAGTTCTTAGTAGCATAGTGGTTAGGTTGATGCTTCAAGTATTATAAGGTCATGAGTTCAAGTGTCTCTGGCCACATTTTTTATTTTGGCTTCTAGCCTCCTAATTACTAGGACCGGCTCTGCTGCTAACACATAAAAGATGAAGCAAAAATGGTTCTCAATCAAAGATTTGACGAGTCTTAATCCGCACATTCCTAGGACAAACACGGGAGGTTGTTGGCATGAATACTTCTGTCGTCTTCAGACATAACCATGTAGCTCATACATTGCATTGAGAAATTCAGATCTTTGAAATCATCACGGCAAGATGCTCATCTGAGACCTCAATAAGAAAAGCCAGCCTTCCAGCCAGTTGAGTTTTACACTTGCCAAAAGAAATATTTGTGATTGTCGCAAGTCACAGTTTATTCTTGTACAACTAAATCACTAAAAAATCATATCACTAAAAAAAAAAGGGAGATATCTAAATTTTAAATTTCTTTAAAATTTTATGTGATTTGTTGATTGGAGGTCATGGTCGCAACAACATGCAAACAAACCAACCAACCAAATCTATTGCATTTGAGACTTTTTTGCTTTGCGGTTCAAATGTTCATACTGATATCTGTACAAGTCATAAACAACAATACAAAACTTTGACTTGGTTTCAAACGGTTTTAGAATTTTTGGTTTGTGAATAAAATGTTCATACTGATATCTGTACAAGTCATAAAACAACAATCCAAAACTTTGACTTGGTTCAAACAGTTTCACTAGATTTCAAACACAAGTATTGTTTTGTCAAAACCAAAATTGCTTTGTCCCCCCCAAAAGAAAAGGGTTTTCGTTCTTTGCTGGTAAAAAGAATATACAAATCCCACACCAAATATTAAAAGAAAAAGAACAAACATTTCTTCGTAAAAGATTAAACAAATATGTAAACAAGTTGTGTATTGTTATCCCCTAACCAGAGTCTCAATATAACACATTGAGGAGCCGTCGTTGCTCAGCTTCATCTGCGCGTAATGAGTAGATATCCGGTGGAGCAGTGATCCCTCCTTTCTGGACCAGTTTAGCATTCGATGAAGATGCAGTTTTCTGTTGATCAAGATAAACTACAACAACGCTGATGTCGTCATGGAAATGTCGTCTAACTCCTCTGGCTATTTTCTTTATATCTCCATATCTCATTTCTCTCTTCCTTGCTGCTTCTTCAAGAGCTGCTCTTACAAGTTGTCTTGCAATCCCCTGTAGATAGAGATACCAGAGAGTTAACAATAGCTAACAGAAAGAGATAGACACAAGCTCTGAGTTTAGGGGGGAGGGGACTTACATTTCTTGGGTGTTTGAGTACAATTTCTACGGCTGCTTCATCACTAAGATGCTCCCAGAGACCATCTGATGCAAATATTAGAAACAAGTCTTGTGGCTTAAGCTTCCTTACTATGATGGAAGGTTCTGCTGTCATCGCGGGTCTCCTCAAAGGAATGTGATTTCCATGTTGCTGGAATATCGGATCCCTGTAAAACTCTGGCTTCTTCAAGTACACATCACCAATTGATCTAGATACCTATACAGAAGCACACATAGAAACTATTCAGCTAACTATACAACGTGCTCAACATTCATGGAAAGGTCATCAGCAAGCAATACATACCTGAATAATGCCTTTAATCCTCCAAACTCCACGAATGTACATAACAATCTGTGAATCATCAGGATTAAGTTCCTTAACCTCCTTTCTAACTTCTTCAACAGCAACGTTATGATCAGTAGACAACCGTTCAGCTGCAGCACCCTTGTTACTACTATTACTACTATCATCACCTTCAACAACGCTCCCAAGAACGGCTCTAGAGTCTCCAAGATTCGCAACATAGAGTGTCCCATTAGAGATGGCACCAAAGAGACAGCAAGATCCTACAGTAGCCATTTGTGGCTTCATGGGCAGTGACCGTTTAACCATACCGCAAAAATCCTCTTCAGTTTCTTTGAATGCTTTTTTTATAACATCTGCAGACAGTCCTCCATGTTCTTGTGCGAACTCTGCAAAATTACAAAAGTTATAAGAAAGTTACTACTACAAGAACCTGAACATGTTATTATGTCTAACAGAAAAAAAAAAAAAAAAAAAAAAAAAAAAAAAAAAAAAAAAAAA